TCATGCATCGTCACCTCAGTGACCGGTAGCTGGGACTACAGGTCACACCCGGCTAATTTTTGTATTTTTCTGTAGAGATGGTTTTCCCATGTTGTCCAGATTGGTCTCAAACTCCTGGACTCAAGCAATTTACCGATTTGGTGCTGGGATTAACAGGGTGGGAGCCCCACTGTGCCTGGCTCGTTCTGTGCAACTTAACTCACTGGCAAGAATACAACATTGGACCTCTCAACCACTAGAACAGTTTTTTTTTTTTTTTTTTTGAGATGGAGTCTTGCTCTGTCGCCCAGGCTGAAGTACAGTGGCATGATCTCAGCTCACTGCAACCTCCACCTCCCAGGCTCATGCGGTTCTCCTGCTACAGCCTCCCAAGTGGCTGGGATTACAGGCGTGTGCCACCACACCCGGCTAATTTTGTGTATTTTTAGTAGAGACGAAGTTTCACCATATTGACCAGGCTGGTCTCGAATTCCTGACCTCAAGTGATCCATCAGCCTCTGCCTCCCAAGTGCCTTATAAGTGTGAGCCACCGCGCCCAGTCAGGAACAAAATTTTTTAAATGGACAGTTGCAGAATTGTGGAGTGTTTTTATATTAATCTTTTGGTAATGCAATTAGCAGTATGTTTTGTATGTATGACTTAATAAATCCTTCAATCATTAAAAAAATAAAGAATAGCCGGGCGTGGTGGCTCACGCCTGTAATCCCAGCACTTTGGGAGGCCGAGGCGGGCGGATCACGAGGTCAGGAGATCGAGACCAACCTGGCTAACACAGTGAAACCCCGTCTCTACTAAAAATACAAAAAATTAGCCGGGTGTGGTGGCAGGCACCTGTCCCAGCTACTTGGGAGGCAGAGGCGGGAGAATGGCATGAATCCGGGAGGCGGAGCTAGCCGTGAGCCTAGATTGCACCACTGCGCTCCGGCCTGGGCAATAGAGCAAGATACGATCTCAAAAAAAAATAAAAAATAAAAAATAAAGTCTTTGCCTTTAAACAACTCAAAATCTAATTGTGTTTAAACATAAGCAAAATTTAAAGCAGAATGAGGTAAGTACTATAACTGGCTATGTAGGAAGCTGATGAAAGAAGTCTTGAACAAAATTTGGTGGAAGTCCAAATAAGAGTTAAATATTCTTCTCATTTTCTTTCTATTTTCTTTTGAGACAGCGTCTTGCTCTGTCATCTAGGCTGGAGGGCAGTGGTGCGATCATAGTTTACATCTCAACCTCCCTGGGCTCATGTGATCCTCCAATCTTAGCCTCTGAGTAGCTGGGACTACAGGTATGCATCACCACACTCAGCTGATTTTTAATTTTTTGTGTGGAGATGAGTTCTTACTATATTCCCGGGCTGTCTTCTCATTCTTTTAATTTACCCCTCTCCAGACAGTACACATTACTGCAAATTTCTGTCATAATCACGTTTCCAAGTCATCTTTAGAATCATTAATTTCACATTAAAACTCAGCATTCTGCAGTATCTTCAGTTAATTTTATACTTCCTATTTCTTCCTTTTTAAAAAAAATAATTTCTTTAACCATTAAAAAAATTGCAGACGGGGATCTTGCTATGTTGGTCAGATTCATTGTGAACTCCTGGCCTTGGCTTCCCAAAGTGCTAGGATTATAGGCATAAGCCATTGCACCCAGCTGTCTTTCTTTTTTTGAGACAGGGTCTTGGTCTGGTCATCACAGCTCACTGCAGCCTCCACCTCCCAGGCTCAAGCGATCCTCCTGCCTCAGCCTCCAAGTAGCTGGAACTACAGGCATGTGCACCATGACCTGCTATAAATTAGTAAGTTTTAAATGCAAAAATTTCAGTGAAGCTTTTTGATAAATCACATAAATAACTCTTACTTAGTTGATGGAAACCTGGATGATAGCTAATTATTCTGTGCTGCTCCCTTCAGTAAACATTTTTATGTATTTTCTCTTTTTGCTTTCGAAGTATCAGTGCATATATTAATATCAAATTTTGACTGTGAACCAGCCCAACTTAATATGTATTCTGCACCTACAATGTATTAAGCACGTTGTGAAGTATAAAGATATCTAAGACATGGTCCCTGCCCTGAAGGAGCTTTTCTAGTTTACTACTTTACCAAAACTGTCAGTACTTAGAAAATGTAAATTAAGGGCTAGGCGCAGTGGCTCCTGCCTGTTATCTGAGCACTTTGGGAGGCTAAGGTGGGTGAATCATGAGATCAGGAGTTTGAGACCAGCCTGACCAACATGGTGACACCCCGTCTCTATTAAAAACACAAAAATATGCCAGGCACTGTGGCTCATGCCTGTAATCCCAGCACTTTGGGAGGCCAAGACGGACGGATCATGAGGTCAAGAGATTGAAACCATCCTGGCCAACATGGTGAAACCGGCTCTACTAAAAATAAAAAAATTAGCCGGGTGTGGTAGTGCGTGTGCTGTAGTCCCAGCTACTCGGGAGGCTGAGACAGGAGAATCGCTTGAACCCAGGAGGCGGAAGTTGCAGTGAGCCAAAAAAAAAAAAAAAAAAGTGCCACTGCACCCTAGCCTGGCAACAGAGTGAGACTCTGTCTCAAAACAAAAACAAAACACACACACACACACACACAAATTAGCTAGGTGTGGTGGCGTGCACCTGTAATCCCAGCTACTCAGGAGGAGGCCGAGGCAGGACAATCCCTTGAACCCGGGAGGCGGAGGTTGCAGTGACCCGAGATCGTGTCACTGCACTCCAACCTGGGCGACAGAGTGAGACTCCATCTCAAAAAAATAAAATAAAATAAAATGAAAAATAAAGGGCCAGGCGTGGTGGCTCACGCCTATAATCCCAGCACTTTGGGAGGCTGAGGCAGGCGGATCACGAGGTCAGGAGTTCAGGACCAGCCTGGCCAATATGGTGAAACCCTGTCTCTACTAAAAATACAAAAACTAGCTGGGCATGGTGGCACATGCCTGTAGTCCCAGCTACTCGGGAGGCTGAGGCAGAAGAATTGTTTGAACCCGGGAGTTGGAGGTTGCAGTGAGCTGAGATTGCACTATTGCACTCCAGCCTGGGTGACAGAGCAGGATTCCATCTCAAAAAAAAAAAAAAAAGAACGTGTAAATTAGCAGCTCTCAGTTACTTCCTGGAGTCTGGACATATTTAGTGAGAGTCTACTATGTATTGGAAAATGTATGAATATATGATAACATGATAATACACATAACTATTCTAAAAATTTCCCAATCATGGCTGGGTGAGGTGGCTCACACCTGTAATGCCAGCACTTTAGGAGGCCAAGGCTGGCAGATCACAAGGTCAGGAGCTCGAGACCATCCTGGCCAACATGGTGAAGCCCCGTCTATACTAAAAATACAAAAAAGTTAGCTGGGCATGGTGGTGCGTGCCTGTAATCCCAGCTACTTGGGAGGCTGAGGCAGGAGAATCGCTTGAACTAGGGAATTGGAGGTTGTAGTGAGCTGAGATCGCGCCACTGCACTCCAGCCTGGCCACAGAGCAAGACTCTGTCTCCAAAAAAAAAAAAAAAAAAAAAAAAAGTCCCAATCATTCTCTACTTGTAATGTACTCCCTTTTTATTTCCCACTCTTGAAAAGCATTTAATCTTAATTTGAATTAATATATCTACTAGGCAATTTGTATATCTTGCACATATGCATACACATTTGCATCAGCATTACATGAAAAATCTTCAAAGTTCCACATGACAGCTGTCACCAATCACAATACTATTTGTCAAGTATACACTGCAAAACTTTAAAAACTGACTTATGTGTCTAGCTCTTAACCAAATTTTATTTACTTTAGCTCTTTATCCATGGTTTTTTAGAGTAGCAATATTAAGTTGTAGTCTAACGCCAGCTGGAAGTAAAACTCAATGGCATATCATATTTCTGTATATGTAGTCATGATTTTTAATTTTAATGGCTTATATTCCACCATATTGTTATGCCATCATTTACTCCAAATGTTTTCAAGTTTTCATATTACAAAGTGCAATTACAAATAGAATTGTGTCAAAGGCAGGAAGTTTGCGTGTTATCACTTTTGTTTACATTAAAATAAATTGAATCTACTGGAATTTTTATTTTTTTATTTTTATTTTTATTTATTTTTTGAGACGGAGTCTCGCTCTGTCGCCCAGGCTGGAGTGCAGTGGCCGGATCTCAGCTCACTGCAAGCTCCGCCTCCCGGGTTCACGCCATTCTCCTGCCTCAGCCTCCCGAGTAGCTGGGACAACAGGCGCCCGCCACCTCGCCCGGCTAGTTTTTTGTATTTTTTAGTGGAGACGGGGTTTCACCATGTTAGCCCATGTTGGGATGGTCTCGATCTCCTGACCTCGTGATCCGCCCGTCTCGGCCTCCCAAAGTGCTGGGATTACAGGCTTGAGCCACCGCGCCCGGCCTGGAATTTTTAAAAATCCAAGTAAAGAGATGTCCTTTGCTATTTACACACTGTGTAGGAGGCAAATTATTCTATGTACGTTTTACAACTACACTACTATCAATAGGACCACGGTTTGGAAAGCCAGTTGCATACTGCTAATCTAATACAAACGTAAGGTGGCGTTAACATCGCATATTCACAGATTTAAGGGCTTGAATAAAAGCTGATCAGGAAACCCCCAAAACTGCTTCTTCCCCCATCTTTGGCTTTACAGTAAAACACTGACATGCTTTCAGAGACTATCAGACTGGGCTGATAATTTTCTAGTAAGAACCACTCAGTGAGGAAGTTCAGTTGGTCGAAGAAGAGCTTCAGCAGATGCTCTGAGGCAGCACCGAGGTTTGATCCGGCAGAGCCCCTTCCAACTGGGCTGGCGCTCCTCGTGGGTAGGAAGAATGAAGAAAGATTGTAGCTCGTAGCTTCCGAGGCCAGACCTTGGCCAGGACTTACGCGGACTGCAGAGAGCCTCAGGGACTCAGCACGCGTCTGCCCGCCTCCCAGCCTCTTGTCCGCCGGGAGGTTCTGCGCAGGCGCGGCAATCGTGCGACAGCCGTCACTTACGGCCGGAGCTGTTGGTGCTGGGAGTTGGTGGCGCGGTGCAGGGCTCCTAAGAACGAACGGCTTGGGCGCGGGTAATCAGCTTCCTTTCCCCCAGTTTCTCACTCATTCTAGGTACTTGGAACTGTCGTAGAGTTTCCAGACCCCACGTAGGCGCCCAGTTGTGGACTGTCCCACTCTGCCGCTCTACTGCTCGGGGTGCTCCCGCGCCCAGGTGGGGGTGAGGGGCGGGGTCGGGGGCTGGGCTGCACTCCATCCTGGCGTCTTCGTGTTTAAATCTCCCAGGTAACTCGCGGCTCTTCTTGTTTTCCAAGACTGGTATCCGGGGACTGTGACTTGCAGGGTCCGCCATGGAGCCGGAGCAGATGCTGGAGGGACAAACGCAGGTATCAGGAGGCCCTGAATTCAGGGTGGCAGTGTTCAGGGAGGCAGCGAGAAAGGGGGGACTTTTATCTCTGTGACCGGTGTTTTGTTTTCTAGGTTGCAGAAAATCCTCACTCTGAGTATGGTCTCACAGACAACGTTGAGGTAACTCGCCCAGTTCCTATGCCTCATCTGTGTTGTCTCTTGCGAGCTGGAGAAAACTTGGAATCTGCTTTTACTAGGTTACTATGCACAAGGGAAAACTTTGTTATCGTGAACTGAATGGTATCAAGTTATGGGTAGCTTGTTTTATTAGTACTAATGCTTCTTGGTGTGGAGACATACAAATTAGGTTTGAGCCAAAGGATTGAATTTTTATTACGAAACACATTCTTGAGGGATACTGTCTAAATCATTTTGCTTGGTGGCTTTTAATCGATCTTTTGGGATGTTGCTACGTAAAAATCGCATATTAAAATTAAGAAACCCTTCGTTGGGCACGGTGGCCCACGCCTGTAATCCCAGCACTTTGGGAGGCCGAGGCTGGTGGATCACCTGAGGTCAGGAGTTCCAAACCAGCCTGACCAGCGTGGTGAAACCCCGTCTCTAATACAAAAATTAGCCAGGCATGATGGTGGATGGCTGTAATCCCAGCTATTCGGGTGGCTGAGGCCAGAGAATTGCTTGAATCTGGAAAACTGAGGTTGCAGTGAGCTGAGATCGCGCCACTGCACTACAGCCTGGGCGACAGAGTGAGACTCCGTCTCAAAAAAAAAAAAAAAAAGTAAAAAATAAAATTAGGAAATCTGTTGGTCTTTGTAGCAGAATAGTGTGCTGGAGGAGTCAACATTTAATAAGTATTTATTTCTTTTTAGAGTTCAGTAACTCCTGGGCTGAAGTGAGAGGATTGCTGGAGCTGGGGAGGTCGAGGCTGCAGTGAGCTATGATCGCACCACTGCACTCCAGCCTGGGTGTCAGCATGTGACCCTGTCCTTCTTCCCTTCTCCCCGCCCCCCCCAAAAAATAAGGCCGGACGCAGTGGTTTACCCCTGTAATCCCAGCACTTTGAGGGCCAGTGTGAGCTGATTACCTGAGGTCAGGAGTTCCAGACCAGCCTGGCCAACATGGTGAAACCTCGTCTCTACTCATCCCAGCTACTCGGAAGGCTGAGGCAGGAGAATCACTAATGGCTTGAACCCGAGATCATGCCACTGTACTCCATCCTGGGCGACAGAGCGAGATTTTGTCTTAAAAAAAAAAAAAAAAAATTAGTAATACAACTTAATTCTACTGCAAAAATGTCAACCTGCCTAGGTTGAAAATACGGTTCCCAACATACTTTCTGGTGACCTTAAACAAGTTACTGAACTTCTCTGAGCCTTATGGGGCTGAAGATACAGGCAAATTGCTTAGGAGTGTGTGTGGCACATAGTAAAAGATTAGAAATTTTTTGTTTTGTTTTTGTTTTGTTTTGTTTTGTTTTTTTTGAAACGGAGTCTCACTCTGTTGCCCAGGCTGGAGTGCAGTGGCGAGATCTCGGCTCACTGCAAGCCCCGCCTCCCAGGTTCACGCCCTTCTCCTGCCTCAGCCTCCCAAGTAGCTGGGACTACAGGTACCCACCACCATGCCCGGCTAATTTTTTGTATTTTTTTTTAGTAGAGACGGGGTTTCACTGTGTTAGCCAGATGGTCTTTATCTCTTGACCTCGTAATCCGCCCGCCTTGGCCTCCCAAAGTGCTGGGATTATAGGTGTGAGCCATCGTGCCTGGCCAAGGCTAGAAAAAATATTAACAGCTATTATTATTATTACTGTGGTTAGAAATGCTTTTATTCTCATTTATCCAAACTGAATCACACGTCTTGTTTTTTAATAAAGCATACAGTCCAGGTATGGTGGCTCACACCTGTAATCCCAGCACTTTGGGAGTCTGAGGTGGGTGGATCACTTGAGGTGAGGATTTCAAGCCTGGCCAACATGGTGAAAGCCCATCTCTACTAAAAATACAAAAATTAGCCAGGCGTGGTGGCGAGCCCCTGTAATCCCAGCTACTCAGGAGGCTGAGGCAGGAGAATTGTTTGAACCCCGGAGGCAGAGTTGCAGTGAGCCGAGATCGTGCCACTGTACTCCAGCCTGGGCGACAGAGTGAGACTCCATCTCAAAAATAAAAAAGTTGGCTGGGCATGGTGGCTGGTAAACCGCTTCAGCTCAGGAGTTTGAAACCAGCCTACAAACCCTGTCTCTACAAAGAAAAAAAGAAAGAAAAATTAACTGAGTGTGACGGTAGGTGCCTACAGTCCCAGCTACTTGGGAGACTGAAGCAGGAGGATCACTTGAGCCCAGGAGGCCGAAGCTGCAGTGAGCCCTAATTGCACCAGTGCACACCATCCTGAGTGAGAGAGCAAAACCTTGTCTCAAAAGCAAAAAAAAAAAAAGTCACTTTAAAGATATTTAAACAGTACAAAAAAAGGAGAATTTTACATTTATCCACATATTGACCGTTTCTGGAGATCTTCATTCTTTTGTGTAGGTCTAGATTTCCATCTTTCCAAAAGGTATCATTTTCTTCCTGCCCAAAGGGCTTCCTTGAACATTTCTTGTAGTTCACTTCTGCTGATAAGAAATTCTTTCAGCTTCTGAATGTCTGAAAAAGTCATTATTTTGCCCTTGTTTATAGAAGATATTTTTGCTAGTTGTAGATTGCTTCACGATCTTCTGGCAGACATTGTTTCTGAAAAGAAGCTTGCTATCGTTCCTATCTTTGCTCCTCAATAATGTCTTCTTGCTACTTTTGAGATTTTCTTTATATCAGTGTTTTAAAGTTATTTGGTTGTGGTGTGTCTTGGTGTAGTTTTTTTCTTTTCTTTTCTTTTTTTTTTTTTGTGATGGAGTCTCGCTCTGTCGCCCAGGCTGGAGTGCAGTGGTGTGGTCTCGGCTCACTGCAAACTCTGCCTCCTGGGTTCACACCATTCTCCTGCCTCAGCCTCCCAAGTAGGTGGGACTACAGGCACGCCCAGCTAATTTTTTTTGTATTTTTAGTAGAGGAGGTTTCACTGTGTCAGCCAGGATGATCTCGATCTCCTGACCTCATGATGCGCCAACCTCGGCCTCCCAAAGTGCTGGGATTATAGGTGTGAGCCGCCGTGCTCGGCCAGTGTTTTTCTTTTAATGCTTCTGCTTAGGATTCATTGAGCTTCTTGGATCTGTGGTTTAGAATTTTCATCAAATTTGGAAGAATTTCAGCCATTATTTAAAAAAAAAAATTTTGCCATGGGACGTGACTCATGCCTGTAATCCCAGCCCTTTGGGAGGCCACGGTGGGAGGATTCCTAGAATCTGGGAGTTTAAGACCAGCCTGGGCAACATAGTGAGACCCCATCTTAAAAAAAAAAAAAAAAAAAGCACGTGCCTATAGTTCCAGCTACTCAGGAGATTGAGGTGGGAGGATTGCTTGAGCCTGGGAGGCCAAGGCTGGAGTGAACCAAGATGATGCCAATGCACTGCAGGGTGGGTGACAGAGTGAGATGCTGTCTCAAAAAAAAAAAAAAAAGAAAAAAAAAAGACCAGTTTACCTAACTTTTTTTCTTTTTCTTTTTTTTTTCTCGAGGCTGAGTCTTGCTCTATCTCCAGGTTGGAGTGCAATGGCGCGATCTCGGCTTAGTGTAACCTCTGCCTCCCGGGTTGAAGTGATTCTCATGTCTCAGCCTCCTAAGTAGCTGGGATTACAGGCACCCACTACCATTCCCAGCTAATTTTTGTATTTTTAGTTGAGGCGGGGTTTCACTGTGTTGGTCAGGCTGGTCTCAAACTGCTGACCTTAAGTGATCTGCCCGCCTCAGCCTCCCAAAGTGCTGGGATTACAGGTGTGAGCCACTGCACCTGGCCTACTTATGCTTTTTTCTGTTGTGAACATATAGAATATATTATACATGGGTTTTTTTTTTTTTTTTTCTTTTAATGAGACAAAGTCTTGCTCTGTCGCCAGGCTGGTGTGCAGTGGCGCAATCTCGGCTCACTACAATCTCCGCCTCCCGGGTTCAAGCGATTCCCCTGCCTCAGCTTCCCAAGTAGCTGGGAGCCACTACGCCTGGCTAATTTTTTGTATTTTAGTAGAGGTGAGGTTTCACTATGTTGGCCAGGATGGTCTTGATCTCCTGACCTCGTGATCCACCTGCCCGAGCCTCCCAAAGTGCTGGGATTACAGGTGTGAGCCACTGTTCCCGGCCAAATGTATTTATTTATTTATTTGTTTTTAAGACCGAGTCTTTTTTTTCTTTTTTTTTTTTTAATTATTATACTTTAAGTTCTAGGGTACATGTGCACAACATGTAGGTTTGTTACATTAAGACCGAGTCTTGCTCTTTCACCCAGGCTGGGATACAGTGGCATGATCATAGCTCACTGTAGTCTCAAACTCCTGGTCTTAAGTGATCCTCCCACCTCAGCCTCCTGAGTAGTTGGGACTAGAGGTGTGTGCCGCCACGTCCGGCGGGAATACATTATAATTTTTTCTTTTTTTTTGAGATGGAGTCTCACTCTGTCGCTCAGGCTGGAGTGTAGTGGCGCGCTCTCGGCTCTCTGCAACCTCTGCCCCCCGGGTGCAAGTGTTTCACCTTTTTTTATTTTTATTTTTTGAGATGGAGTTTTGCTCTTGTCGCCTAGGCTGGAAGTGGCGCAATCTTGGGTCAGTGCAACCTCCACCTCCTGGGTTCAAGTGATTCTCCTGCCTCAGCCTCCCAAGTAGCTGGAATTACCAGCATGTGCCACCATGCCTGCCTAATTTTTGTATTTTCAGTAGAGACGGGGTTTTACCGCATTGGCCAGGATGGTCTCAAACTCCTGACCTAAGGTGATCCACCTGCCTTGGCCTCCCAAAGTGCTGGGATTACATGTGTGAGCCACCACAGCTGGCGTATTATGAGATTTTCTCCCCCTGTGTCACTGGAACACAAACTGTTTCCAGCCTGTGTGAGCTGCAAGGATTGTTCCTCCTGGTGTAATATAGTTTAGATATTTGTCCCTTCCAAGTCTCATGTTGAAATGTGACCCCCAGTGTTGGAAGTGGGGCCTAGTGGGAGGTGTTTGGGTCATGGGGGCAGATCCCTCATGACTGGCATGGTGCCATCTTTTGGTAATGAGTCAGTTCTTACTCTATTAGTTACCATGAGATCTGATTGTTAAAGAGCCTGGCACCTACTCCTTTCTCTCTTGCTCCCTCTCGTTATGTGACACACCAGTTCCCCTTCCGTCTCTGTCACGATTCATTGCTCCCTGAAGCCCTCACCAGAAGCAGATGCTGGTGCCATGCTTGTGTAGCTTGCAGAACTGTGGCCAAATAAACCTCTCTTCTTTATAAATTACCCACCCTCAGGTATTTCTTTATAGCAATGCAAATGGACTAACACAAGATGGTTATTTCCCTGGCCTTGGGTAGTTGACTTATAACCATCTATTGATAAGTATTTACCTGAAGACTGGAAGGCAATATCTTTAGTCTTTTTCTGTGCAGTTCTTGTCTCCACGCACCTTTCTTCTCTTCAGTGCTCTGCCTTGCAAATTTTAGTTGTTTTGGTCTCCCAGAATTTTCAACTCTGTCTTCTCAACTCAGGGAGACTACTAGGCTCTGTTCACATTCTCTCTCCCTATACTGCATCCTGTAAGTTCTCCAGGCAGAAAGCAGGAAGCTGGGACAGTCATAGTTAGTACTCACCTCATTTCTTCCCTTTTTGTGATCACTGTTCTACACTGTCTTACCAGCTCATTGTTTGTTTGTGGTAGTTTGGATATATCTATTTTTAGATTAGTTCAAGATTTTGACTTAAGTGAAATTGAGCATCACAATTGGCACATAGTAGATAATTCGTAAATGTTCAAATGAAATAAATGGGAGGATTTGGTTAAGAAATTTATTACAGGAGTTATAGGAGTTGCTTAGGCATTGCTCTTTTTTTTTGTTGTTCTGAGACCGAGTTTTGCTCTTGTTGCCTGGGCTGGAGTGCAATGGCGCGGTCTTGGCTCACCATAACCTCCGCCTCCCACGTTCAAGTGATTCTGCTGCCTTGGCCTCCCAAGTAGCTGGGATTACAGGCATGTGCCACCACACCCGGCTTGTTTTGTATTTTTAATAGAGTTGCGTTTTCTCCATGTTGACCAAGTTGTTCTTGAACTCCTGACCTCAGGTGATCTGCCTGCCTTGGCCTCCCAAAGTATTGGGATTACAGGCGTGAGTCACCACAGCCAGCCGCACTGCTCTTTCTTATTGGCTTTCTTATTGTAGGCATTATAATGTCATGTAACTCACAAGTTAAAATATTTTTTTCTTTTTTTGAGATGGAGCCTTGCTCTGTCGCCCAGGCTGGACAGGCGATTCTCCTGCCTCAGCCTCCTGAGTCCTGGGATTACAGGTACATGCCACCACGCCTGGTTAATTTTTGTATTTTTAATAGAGGCGGGGTTACACCATGTTGGTCAGGCTTATCTCGAACTCCTGACCTTGTGATCCACCTGCTTCGGCCTCCTAAAGTGCTGGGATTACAGGCGTGAACCGCTGTGTCCGGCCTAAAATTATTTTCTAAAAAATAGTAACAGGGTCTCACTATGTTGCTCAAGCTGGTTTCAAACTCCTGCGCTCAAGCTCCTGCGCTCAAACTCCTGCCTTGGCTTCCCAAAGTACTGGGATTACAGATGTGAGCCACTGCGCCTGGTCCCGAGTAGTTTTTATTGTATACGTATACTGTGACTGGAAGTTAGGACTGTTTTTAGGAAATACACTGTGAGATTTTGAAGTTTGCCGCATTGTCTTTGTTGTGATCAACGTGAAGTTTTGAACATAGTGGATTTTGATTTAGGGGATGAAAATTCATTTAAGATGATACTGTCAGTTTTCAGAAATAATGAAGTTGTATAGTCTTTTCTGCAATGGAAAGGTGACTTTTACAAAGGCTTAGTTAGAATTTCTGAAGTGATGGTGTGCTAATTATCTGTTGAAATTTACTAATGAAAAATAAAATTTTCAGTCCATGGACAAATAAATAGTATTTTATAGATTAAAAAACTTTGTATTTAATAGAAAATTATCTTTTAATTCCAAAATTAGATTGAAAAATCATAAGCAGAAGTTTTCTGACATAGTTATGGGAAGTGTCTTTGGAAACCATGCTATATATGTTACAGATAATGTGATTAAAGGTTTGTTCTCACTTTTACCAAAATAAAATTAAAAGTAGAAAAAGTTTTCTTTGTCGACTCTTTTATATCTAGTTTGACTATGATTGAAGCAAAAGTTCATTTAAATGAAAGTGCTCTTAGGAATACTGTTTTGTCCTTTTACAGCCATTTCTTATTTATTTTATTTTATTTTTTTATCTCTTTCATTTTTATTTTTTTTATTGTTTTGAGATGGAGTGTTGCTCTGTCACCCAGGCTGGAGTGCAGTGGTGCAGTCTGGGCTCACTGCAACCTCCACCTCCCAGGATCAAGCGATTCTCTTGCCTCAGCCTTTCAAGTAGCTGGAATTACAGGTGTGCACCACCACGCCTGGCTAATTTTGTAATTTTAGTAGAGATGGGGTTTTACCATGTTGGTCAGGCTGGTCTTGAGCTCCTGGACTCAGCTGATCCCCCTGCTTCGGCCTCCCAAAGTGCTGGTAATACAGCCGTGAGCTACCACATCCAGCCCCCATTTTAAATATCTAAAATTTTTTTTAAAAAGCAACTTTTTTTTTTGGAGACGGAGTCCCACTCTGTCGCCCAGGCTGGAGTGCAATGGCCCGATCTCAGCTCACTGCAAGCTCCGCCTCCCGAGTTCAAGTGATTCTCCTGCGTCAGCCTCCTGAGTAGCTGGTATTACAGGCGCGCACTACTACACCTGGCTAATTTTTGTATTTTTAGTAGAGACGGGGTTTCACCATGTTGGTCATGCTGGTGTTGAACTCCTGACCGCGTGATCCACCTGCTTGGGCCTCCCCAAGTGCTGGGATTACAGGCATGAGCCACTGTGCCCGGCCTTTTTTTTCCCCTTTTTGAGACGGAATCTTGCTGTGTTACCCAGGCTGCAGTGCAGTGGCATGACCTCAACTCACTGCAACCTCTGCCTCCCGGGTACAAGTGATTTTCTTGCTTCAGCTTCCTAAGTAGCTGGGATTACAGGTGTGCACCACCATGCCTGTCTAGTTCTTTTTTATTTTATTTTTTTGAGACGGAGTCTTTCTCTGTCGCCCATGCTGGAGTGCAGTGGTGTGATCTCGGCTCATTGCAAACTTCACCTCCCGGGTTCAAGCGATTCTTCTGCCTCAGCCTCCCGAGTAACTGGGAGTACAGGTGCCCACTACCACGCCCAGCTAATTTTTGTATTATTAGTAGAGACGGGGTTTCACCATATTGGTCAGGCTGTCTTGAACTCCTGAGTCGTGGTCGGCCTGCCTTGGCCTTCGAAAGTGCTGGGATTACAGGTGTCAGCCACCGCGCAGGCCGCAAAATACTTTAATACATTAGTTTTAAAAATGTGAGTGTGATGGAGGCAATAAGTTACTTTTTAATGCTCTGAATGTTAGCCCGAATTTATTTGATAGCTCCAAAATTTGAGGGTTGTGAAGAAGAAAATATTATTTTTTAAACTTCATTTATTTTTAATTATAATTAATAATTGGTTTTTAGTGTTACCTGTCTGAATGGGGAAAACTTCATTCATTTAAATGTGACACGAATGATTTTTTTGTTAATAATTTTCTTCATTTTGGGGTTGTTATTTACATAATGTATTTTCTTAAACCTGTTCATTTTTTAAAATCATGGATTTATTTATTTGTTTATGTAGAGACAGGGCCTTGCTTTGTCAATCAGGCTAGAGTGCAGTGGCATGATCTCGTCTCACTGCAACCTCCACCTCTAGAGCTCAAGTGATCCTCCCACCCCAGGCTCCTGAGTAGCTGGGGCTACAGACACGCACTACCACGCCTGGCTCAATTTTTGTTTTTTTTTGAGACGGAGTCTCGCTCTGTCACCCAGGCTGGAGTGAAATGGCGCGATCTCGGCTCACTGCAAGCTCCGCCTCCCGGGTTCACGCCATTCTCCCGCCTCAGCCTCCTGAGTAGCTGGGACTACAGGCGCCTGCCACTACGCCCGGCTAATTTTTTGTATTTTTAGTAGAGACGGGGTTTCACCATGTTAGCCAGGATGGTCTCGATCTCCTGATCTCGTGATCTGCCCACCTTGGCCTCCCAAAGTGCTGGGATTACAGGCGTGATCCCCCATGCCTGGCCTGATTTTTGTATTTTTGGTAAAGACTGGATTTTGCAGTTGCCTGGGCTGGATGTATTTCTTTAAAAAATAAACATAAAGGGAAAAGCATTCTCATCGTGATAAATAGAGGGTAACCATAAAAATGACAACAGTGAATACAAGACAATGGTAATAAATTTTAGCTCTATTCTCTTGAGTGTATAAGCCTTGGACCCTGAAGCTTGCTGTCTCTGCTGTGACCAGCTTTCTTACTATGATTTGGTGCTGTTTGGTGTCACGTCCAGTTTTTTTTGGGAACACACTCTAAGAAGATACTTACATGAAAAAGAGAAAAAAGGATTTGTGTTTACTCCTACAAAGTCAGAAGGAAAGGGAGAAAGAGTAGGATCTTGAGACATGACATTAGAAGAATGAGATAATGTGGTGCTTTTGGAGAGAAAGAGCTTAAGTGAGATTGAAAGATGGGTCTGAATTTATTTTGGGCAGAGAAGTTTGTGGTCTAGTACCATCTTTCTAGTCATTGATTTGCCTTTTCTATTAGTGTCATATTTCCATTAGTTTTGTTTAGCACTCAAAATAACATTTATTTGAAATGTTCATGTACTTTTTTTTGAATTCACTAGAGGATAGTAGAAAATGAGAAGATTAATGCAGAAAAGTCATCAAAGCAGAAGGTAGATCTCCAGTCTTTGCCAACTCGTGCCTACCTGGATCAGACAGTTGTGCCTATCTTATTACAGGGACTTGCTGTGCTTGCAAAGGAAAGGTAAGATAATTGTGTCCACAAATGGAGTTAGTAAAGAAAGCAAAATAGATTCCCCTATATGAAATATCATTAGTTATGTATAGCAACTTTTTTGTGTGATTTATGGATGTTAAAGTTTTTAAGTACTCAGCCATAATCTCATAATTCAGACATTTAAATTTTTTCCCACCAGTCTTAGATCATATGCATATTTGTAAAGATTTGTGATCATGATATACCTGTAATTTTGAATCTTCTTTTTACTTATTGTGACATAACATTTTTCTATGTCTCTCCATAGTCTTCATGATTATAATTTTTTATTATTATTGTTATTTTGAGACAGAGTCTTACTCTGTTGCCCAGGCTGGAGTACAGTGGTGTGATCTCTGTTCACTGCAACCTGTTCCTCCTGGTTTCAAGTGATTCTTGTGTCTCAGCCTCCTGGGTAGCTGGGACTACAGGTGTGTGCCACTATGCCTGGCTAATTTTTTTATTTTTCATAAAGATGGAGTTTCACCATGTTGGCCAGGCTGGTCTTGAACTCCTGACCTCAAGTGATCTGCCCGCCTCAGCCTCCCAAAGTGCTGGCATTACAGGCATGAGCCACTGCGCCTGGCCTATTATTATTATTTTTTGAGATAGAATCTTGCTCTCTGTCCCTGGCTGGAGTGCAGTGGTGCAACCCTGGCTCACTGCAACTTCCACCTCGCGGGATTCAAGCGATTCTCCTACCTCAGTCTCCCGAGTAGCTGGGATTACAGGCACCTGCCACCATGCCTGGCTGGTTATTGTATTTTTAGTAGAGACAGGGTTTGGAGTCTCGCTCTGTCGCCAGGCTGGAGTGCAGTGGCGCGATCTTGGCTCACTGCAACCTCCACCTCATGGGTTCAAGCGATTCTGCCTTAGCTTCCTGAGCAGCTCAGGCACCCAGTACCACGCCTGGTTAGGTTTTATATTTTTAGCAGTGATAAGAGTTTCACTGTGTTGGCCAGAATGATCTCGATCTTTTGACCTTGTGATCTGCCCATCTCGGCCTCCCAAAGTGCTGGGATTACAGGAGTGAGCCACTGAGCCTGGCCTTAAATTTTCTTAGTAGTAAGAGTACAATTATTTCTCTTTCTTTAACATTATTTTCCCCAGTATTTCTCATCTAAATTCTTTTTTGTGTAAGCAAATCTAATAAGAACATTGGTTTTGCAAGTTAGATTAGTCAACATTTATTAGGTGCATATTCTGTTTTATTCAAAGAATAAAATAAATATTATAATATAAATATTATAATAAACATTATAATAGCAAACTGACATAACTTGATAAAGAACTTGATGGAACTATGTCTCATCTCAGCCAGGTGTGGTGGTGTATGCCTTAACCCGCACTGCTTGGGAGGCCGAGGTGGGAGGATCGCTTGGGCTTGGGCCCAGGAGTTTGAGGCTGCAGTGAGCTGTGATCGCACCACTGCACTCCAGCCTGGGTGACAGAGTGAGACCCTGCCTCAGGAAAAAAAAAAAAAAAAGGAAATATATCTTTTCTTATAGTAAAAGTGAGTTATTAACTTAGAATAATTTGTTTATATAAAAATTATATGAATGAGCAGTAAATATTTGTTTTTGATGGCTATATTTGTAAATTAGTATTTATTTATGACTATGAGCTATATCTTGGCTCTACTATCAACAATTAAAATATGGGTGTCTTGGCTGGTCTGAAGGTAGTGAGTTAACTCGATTGTTGATAGTCTTACAGATCAAGCTCCTTATTCTACTACTTTTTTTTTTTTTTTTTTTTTGAGACAGAGTTTTGTACTTGTCACCCAGGGCTGGAATGCAGTGGCATGATCTCGGGTCACTGCAACCTCCACCTCCTGGGTTCAAGCATTTCTCTTGCCTCAGCCTCCTGAGTAGCTGGGATTACAGGTGCCTGTCAGCATACCCAGCTAATTTTTGTATTTTTAGTAGAGATGGGGGTTTCACCATGTTGGCCAGGCTGGTCTCGAACTCCTGACCTCAGGTGATCCACTGCGCCTAGCCTGTTTTTTTTTTTGTTTTTTGTTTTTTTTGAGACAGAGTCTTTGTTGCCCAGGCTCGAATGCAGTGGCACAATCTCAGGTCACTGCAGTCTCTGATTCTCAGTTCAAATGATTTTCCTGCCTCCCGAATAGCTGGGACTGCAGGTGTATGCCACCACACGTGACTAATTTTTGTATTTTCAGTAGAGACGGGGTTTCACCATGTTGGCCAGGCTGGTCTCTAACTCCTGACCCCAGGTGATCTGCCCTCATTGGCCTCCCAAACTGCTGGGATTATAGGCGTGAGCCACCGCGCCTAGCCCTTATTCCCCTATTCTCCTCCTTCGCTGCCTTCCCGCGACTGCACTTGACTAGTCTAAAAAAAAAAAAAAAAAAAAAAGGCAAAAAAGGAAAAAAAAATGGTATCTTTTCTATTTTTTTGTTTTTCCTCTAGGGAAGACTAATATATTAGAAATTTAAAATATTACTGTATTTATTTATTTTTTGAGACAGAGTCTTGCTAGGTTGCCCAGGCTGGAGTGCAGTGGCACAATGTTGGCTCACTGCAACCTCTGCCTCCTGGGTTCAAGCAATTCTTCTGCCTCAGCCTCCAGAGTAGCTAGATCTACCGGCGCCTGCCATCACACCTGGCTAATTTTTGTATTTTTAGTAGAGATGTGGTTTTACCATGTTGATCAGGCGAGTCTGGAACTCCTGACTTCAGGTGATCCACCTGCCTCAGCCTCCCGAAGTGTTGGGATTACAGGCATGAACCATTACGCCTGGTCTCCAAATATTACTTTAAATGCTAGAAAAACATTTGAAGAAATTTTTAAGTTCAAGCTCCTAAATACATTAAAATTTTTTCTTTTATTGTTAATTTTTTTGAGACAGGGTCTCGCTCTGTCATCCAGGCTGAAGTGCAGTGGCGAGATCACCACTCACTGCAGCCTCAGCCTTCTGGGCTTAAGCAATCCTCTCACCTCCGCCTCCTGAGTAGGTGGGACTACAGGCGTGTGCCACTATGCCAGGCTAATTTTTAAGCTTTTTTGAAGAGTTGGGGTCTTACTATCTTGCCCAGGCTTGGAAGTGATCCTCCTTGGACTCCCAAAATCCTGGGATTACAGGCGTGAGCTACTGCACCTGGCCAGTAAATACATTTTTTGTAAAAAAAAAAAAATTTTTTTTTTTTTTGACATGGAGTCTTGTTCTGTTGCCCCAGCTGGAATACAGTGGGGACAATCATGCCTTACTGCAGCCTCAGACTCCCAAGCTCAAGCGATCTTTCCACCTAATGCTCCTGAGTAACTGTGACTACAGGTGTGTGCCACCATGCCTGGCTGATTTTTTGTATTTTCGGTAGAGACAGGGTTTCGTCATGTTGCCCAGGTTGATTCTGAACTCTTGGGCTCAAGCTGTCTGCCCGCCTTGGCCTTCCAAAGTGTGAGGATTATGAGCGTGAGCCACCATGCCCAGCCCAAGTATGTTTTTGTTTCAAGATGGAGTCTTGTTCTGTTGCGGCAGGCTGGAGTGCAGTGGCTTGATCTTGGCTCACTGCAACCTCTGTCTTTGGGGTTCAAGTGATTCTCATGCCTCATCCTCCCTAGTAGCTGGGACTACAGGCATGCACCACAATGCCCGGCTAATTTTTTGTATTTTTAGTGGAGACAGGGTTTCACCATGGTGGCCAGGCTGGTCTCGAACTCCTGACCTTGTGATCTGCCCGCCTTGACCGCCTAAAGTGCCAGGATTACAGGTGTGAGCCACCGCTGTACCCGGCCAAATACATTGTGTGTTTTTTTTTTTTTTTTTTTGAGACAGAGTCTTGCTCTGTTGCCCAGGCTGGAGCGCAGTGGCGCGATCTCGGCTCACTGCAACCTCCACTTCCTGGGTTCAAGTGATTCTCCTGCCTCAACCTCCTGAGTAGCTGGGATTACAGGTGCGTACCACCACGACCGGCTAATTTTTGTATTTTTAGTAGAGACGGAGTTTCACCATGTTGGTCAGGATTGTCTCAAGCTCCTGACCTCGTGATCCACCCGCCTCGGCTTCCCAAAGTGCTGGGATTACAGGCATGAGCCACTGCGCCTGGCCCCAAATACATTTTTTTAAGTAAAGAGTTCTGGTAAAATAATTCATCATGTGAACCCTAAATACTACGTGAAAAATCTTGTCTATTTGTAGACAGCTCTTAGGGCTGTTTAAAGTGCTCTGGGAATGTTTTGAGATTATTGTAAACACATTTTCAATATGCCTTTTCATAGTAGAGTTGAAAATAGATGTCTCCCCAGTTTTTCATCTTTGGACTTGTATTCTCAGCAAGAATAATTTACATAGAAGTGTTAATATGGGCCGGGTGCAGTGGCTCAAGCCTGTAATCCCAGCACTTTGGGAGGCTGAGACGGGCGGATCACGAGGTCAGGAGATCGAGACCATCTGGCTAACACGGTGAAACCCCGTCTCTACTAAAAAATACAAAAAACTAGCCGGGCGAGGTGGCAGGTGCCTGTAGTCCCAGCTACTCGGGAGGCTGAGACAGGAGAATGGCGTGAACCCAGGAGGCGGAGCTTGCAGTGAGCTGAGATCCGGCCACTGCATCCCAGCCTGGGTGACAGAACGAGACTCCGTCTAAAAAAAAAAAAAGAAGTGTTAATATGAAATATCTCCTCTTAGTTTTATAAATGTGTTTATCTTCTTAGGTGCACTGTAGTTGTATTAAATAGTATTAGAATTATTTATTTTAAGTATTTGAAGAAAGAAAGAAGTAGCTTTTAGAAAAGAAACATAACCTACTTATCTGTATTAGTGTTGCTTCTTTGACTAGTCACTTGAGTTCATCTACATGTCTTAGTGATGCTACATCCACTGTCCTATATTATTTTTGTTCTTTTATTGAAGGATATTACACAGAATATTACACATATCATAGGTATACAGCTTGATGAATTTTCACAAACTAAACATACCTGTGTAGCTTGCAGTCAGATCAAGAAACTGAATACTGCCAGCATCTCAGAAGCCATCCATGTGACCCCTTCAAGTCATTATTCTCTTTGGGGTAATGATCATCCCATTGTCAATACATTTTTTAAACATGTTTTAAAATTGAGTTCATAACTAGATTTAAGCCATACAAAAATTTCAGTCTCATTAAACTATTTTGTTGGCTAATTAATTTGCTTGCTTATCTCATTTATTTTATTTACTACAAATGTCCTTTGACTGTGAAATGAAAATTAAACTTAAAAAGATGAGTTTTCATTATGGAACAATATGTTTAAATTAACACATCTAGGAAATATATTTCTAAACTTTGGATTTCTTTTCCCTTACAGACCACCAAATCCCATTGAATTTCTAGCATCTTATCTTTTAAAAAACAAGGCACAGTTTGAAGATCGAAACTGACTTAATGGGAAGAACAGAAAAATTTAGTTGCTACTGTAGATTTACATGATTAAGAGGCAGCTTTAATTGCCATGATTATCCCCCCTTTTTGGATGTATAAGAACCTTCCGGACAACAGAACCTATTTCTGGAATTGCAGAAGAGAACATATTTCCCTTATTTTGATTTAATCACCATAAACCATACCTATTTAATGAGTGTATTCTGTGCAATTTTTTCTCAGATTGTCTTTAACTTTGTTTTTAAAATGACCTTCAAAATAAACTGTCAAAACACCATTATTTTAAAGTAGTTTTTGTTCTATATGACACATATTTTACATGATTGTTTTATGAATTTCTCTTTTTCTTCTGTCTTCAAATGCTGCAGAGTTTTACAACAGAGAGAAAATACAGCAGTCAAGTATAATGTAAAAAATACAGCCAATTTTTCTCAGCATTGTTTCTGGACCTTTCTGAGGGTGGGATCTGGGCATCTTCAATGGCTTAACAAGTATCACAGGTGATTCTAATGTACAATAAAGTTGGAGTACTAATAAAAGCATTGCAAAGGGGATACAATATCCTCTAATGTTATCAACATTTATAGTAATAGCTATAATTTATTGCATTCCTACTAAGTTTCAGGCATAGTACATTTTTACTTAAATGATCTCTGATATGGCAGCTCTGCAAAGTAGATATTATTATTCCCATTTTGCAGATGAGGAAACAGACTTGGAGAGGTTAAGTGACATGCTCAAGACAACACTGCTGGTAAGTTTTTGAATGGGAATTCAAATCCGGTTCTACCAATGTGTTGCTGAATTTCATTGCTTCTCTTTGCAATAAAAAGCAGCAGCCAGTTCTTTTTGGGGTCTATTCTCATTGTCCCCTGTGAAGAAATGGAGATGGCTCACTAGCTCAGAAAATAGAGAAACTGCCATAAAAGAGCCAGGAAAAAACATCCACTAGAGCAGTGGTTCTCAAAGAGGAGTGATGATCTCTCCCCACCCCCATTTCCCCAGAGAACACTTGTTGATGTCTGGACACATTTTGGTTGTCACGACTAGAATCAGGTGGGGTTCTTGAACTCCTGACCTTGTGATCCACCTGCCTTGGCCTCCCAAAATGCTGGGATTACAGGCGTGAGCCACCATGCCCAGCTAGGTGGGGTTCTACTGGTATCTAGTGCGTATAGATGCTGCTAAAACATCTTAACAATGAATAGGACAACCTGCATGCCCATCTTCTCCCTCCCCAAGAATTATCTAGCTTAAAATGTCAGTGCCAAAATTGAAAGAAGCCTATTAAAGTCGTATGTCTCCAAGCTAAACCTGTTAAGGCCTTTGCAAAGTTAGAAATTTAATGCTGATTGGCTGGGCGCGGTGGCTCACGCCTGTAATCCCAGCACTTTGGGAGGCCGAGGCGGGTGGATCACAAGGTCAGGAGTTCGAGACCACCCTGGCCAATATGGTGAAACCCTGTCTCTACTAAAATTACAAAAATTAGCTGGGCATGGTGGCACGCTCCTGTAGTTCCAGCTACTCGGGAGGCTGATCGGGAGGCTGAGGCAGAAAACTTGCTTGAACCTGGGAGGCGGAGGTTGCAGTGAGCCAAGATCGTGCCACTGCACTCCAATCTGGGCGACAGAGTGAGAATCTGTCTCAAAAAAAAAAATAAATAAATAAATAAATAATGCTGATTAGGTATGCCTTATAGTTTTCTTTAACACAGGAAATACTTATTTTAGTAGAACTGACACTTGTGGGAGGTGCTATGTTTTTGGTTTACATCTGCAGATCTATATATCTGAATAGGAAAAACCTGGACATACTGGGATCGTCTTATATAGTAGTTTTTGTAAGTATTCTATCAAATTTATTTTGGTTATTTGGCTAACTCATAAGTTAATCCACCCAAGTCTTTTTAGTGATTTTTTAACATCTGAGTAGTAATTGGGTAATTTTTTTTTTTTTTTGAGACAAGGTCTTGCTCTGTTGCCCAGGCTTGAGTGCAATGTGATCTTGGCTCACTGCAACCTCCAGCTCGCAGGCTTGATTCTCCTGTATCAGTCTCCTGAGTAGCTGAGATTACAGGTGCACGCCACTGTCCCCAGCAAATTTTTGTATTTTTAGTAAAGATGGGGTTTCACTATGGTGGCCAGGCTGGTCTTGAACTCCTGACCTCAGGTGATCTGCCCACCTTAGCCTCCCAAAGTTCTGGGATTATGGGTGTGAGCCACCACACCCATAATTGGGTAATCTTATTAAGAGATCAATAATCTTTAGCAGTGGTTGTTTACCAATGATTCTCATCAGAGCTACTTGGGGGAACTTTCCAAATATAAGTATAAACAATATAAACATAAAAATCAATATAAAAATACAAATTTTGTACATAATATAAGTATTATGTATGTGTTAAGGGGCTTCTAAAGCTGTCACCTGGTGAACATGACCCAATGGGACAGAGCCTTTTTTGTTTTTGTTTTTTGAGATGGAGTCTTGCTCTGTTGCCCAGGTTGGAGTGCAGTGGTACAATCTCGGCTCACTGCAACCTCTGCCTCCTGGGTTCAAGCGATTCTCCTGTCTCAGTCCCCCCAGTAGCTGGGATTACAGGTATGTGCCACCGTGCCCGGCTACTTTTTGTAATTTTAGTAGAGACAGGGTTTTACCATGTTGGCCAGGCTGGTCTTGAACTCTTGACCTCAGGTGATCCGCCCGCCTCAGCCTCCCAAAGTGCTGGGATTATAGGTGTGAGCCACTGTGTCCGGCCTGACAAAAATCTTTAAGGCATTCTGATACCTCTGGTTAAGGACCGATTAGAAGATATTCTAGTTTTGGAAGTGTAAATATGCAATACTTGGCCTAGTGGTAAGGGCTGAGAATAGGAATGTCTTTTTATTAATTTTTTTAGATAGAGTCTCGCTCTGTTGCCCAGGCTGGAGTGCAGTAGCTCATTGCAACCTCCGCCTCCCAGGTTCAAACAATTCTCCTGCCTCAGCCTCCCCAGTAGTTAGGACTTCAGGCGCATGCCACTACACCTGGCTAATTTTTTGTATTTTCCTACAGACGGGGTTTCACCGTGTTGCCCAGGACGGTCGCAAACTCCTGAGCTCAGGCAATCTGTCTGTCTCGGCCTCCCAGCGTGCTGGGATTACAGGCGTGAGCCACCATGCCTGGCCAATTTTTTTTTTTTTTTAAGAAGTGAGGTCTCACTGTGTTGCCCAGATGGTCTCAAACTCCTGACCTCATGTGATCCTGCTGCCTTGGCCTCCCAAAATGGTGGGATTACAGGTGCAAGCCACTGTGCCTGGCAAGGAATGTCTTTTCCTGGCAGTCTACGTAATACTTACTTGAGTACTTATGTGCCAGGTAGCATGCTAAATATTTACATGAGTTGTCATTTAATCCTTGAACCTGTAAGGTGGATTTAAGTTTAAAAAATTAATCCCTATTTTTTGTTTATTTTAAAAATCACTTTATCAAGGTATAATTGAACAAAAAGCTGTATATATTTAATATATACAACTTGATTACTTTGCAGATAACTATAGATCACTGAAACCATAACTACCATCAAGGTCATAAACATATTCCTCACCCCTCAAAGTTTGGGGTAGTTTTAATTTTAATTTTAATACGTTATTTATTTAGAGATGAGGTCTTGCTCTGTCACCCAAGTTGGAGTGCAACGGCATGGCCATAGCTTACTGCAACCTTGAAGTCCTAGGCTCAAGTGAGCTTCTTGCCTTAGCCTTCTGAGTAGCTGGGACTATAGGTATACTGCTGAACCTGGCTGATTTTTTTTTTTATTTTAAGCTTTTGCAGAGACGAGTTCTCATTGTGTTGACCAGGCTAGTCTTGAACTCGAACTCCTGACCTCAAGCTATCTACCTGCCAGAACTTCCCACAGTGCTGGGATTATAGGTGTGAGAGCCACTGCACCCAGCCTATTTATTTGTTTTTGAGACAGGGTCTTGCTCTGTCACCCAGGCTGGAGCCCGGTGGTGAGAGCATAGCTTACTCCTGGGCTCAAGTCATCTTCTCGCGTCAGCCTCCTGGGCAGGTGGGACTACAGGTACACACCACCACGCCTGGCTAGTTTAACACTTCATTTATAGATGAAGAAACATTTGAATAATTTCCTTAAGGTTACAGAGGAATTAAGTTTTTGGCAGGGATTCAAACCCATCTCGCTCGCTCTCTATATGTGTGTGTGTGTGTGTGTGTGTGTGTGTTTTTGAGACAGAGTTTCGCTCTTTTTGCCCAGGCTGGAGTGCAATGGCACAATCTCGGCTCACTGCAACCTCTGCCTCTTGGGTTCAAGCAATTCTCCTGCCTCAGCCTCCCTAAAAGCTAGAATTACAGGCGCACACCACCACACCCAGCTAACTTTGTATTTTTAGTAGAGACGGGGTTTCACCATGTTGGCCAGGCTGGTCTTGAACTCCTAACCTCCAGTAATCCACCTGCCTTGGCCTCTCAAAGTGTTGGGATTACAGGCGTGAGCTACCACACCCAGCTGAGAGTTTCTTAAAGAGTGTAGCACAGTAGCTTCAAGAGTTCAGTTTATTCATGGGCATTATTCAGTGTTATTTTACTGAGGGAATGGAGAGCTCCACTTACTCTCATAAATTGGTTAAATGGAAGTCAGTTTAGAAAGTTACTACTATATGGCCTGGTGCTGTGGCTCACGCCTGTAATCGCAGCACTTCGGGAAACTGAGGTGGGTGGATCACCTGATGTCAGGAGTTTGAGACCAGCCTGGCCAACATGGTGAAACCCTGCCTCTACCCAAAATACAAAAATTAGCTGGGCGTGGTGGTTGACACCTGTAATCCCAGCTACTCGGGAGGCTGAGGCAGGAGAATTGCTTGAACCCAGGAGGCTGAGGCTGCAGTGAACCGAGATCGCACCACTGCACTCCAGCCTGGGTGACAGAGCGATACTCCGTCTCAAAAAAACAACAACAAAAAAGAAAGTTACTATTATACTTTGGTGTCGTATATTATATGTAACTGGGAAGCATATAAACAGTTCCTAACCTTTGACCATTTAATGCAGACGTTGTTTAGTAAATAAATACAAAAATTGAGTAAAACCTACTGTATCCCTTAAGAGTGAGTTCATGAATTACGTTGGTGGGTGGGTTAGTTGGGAGGATCAGTAGAGTGAATCAGGAATAGATTTCCTGGAGGAAATAGAAACCTTGAATTGAAAAAAAAAAAAAAGGGAGAAGAGTGGGTTGGATAGAAGGAGATCATCTACCTAGTTCTGATGCACCTAAAGGAAGAATATTGAACTTTTATTTGAACGTCATTTAGGAGAAGGTACAGTGGGATTTTAAGATGGATAACTTCCTGTTAGAAGTGACAGAATTGTTTTAGGAGGAGCATACAAAACTGTAGCCAGGTATTTTCCTGGACTGGATTCCAAAATGGCATTAACAATTGGAGGCCTGATGACATATCAGACTGGAAAAATGAGGCACAAAAGATGAACCTGTGAGTGGTTATAACCGAAAATCTACTTATTAAAATACAATCTCTGGGTATAAATTAGCAAAGAAGAAAAGTAATAAAATAGTGGAAAATAGGTCACCAGTGATAAAAGGGGTAGTTGGTAATGAATAATTGTTTTTTAAAAAACCTTGCCAGCCTTTGGCTGGGCATGGTGGTTCACACTTGTAATCCCAGCACTTTGCGAGGCCAAGGCAGGCGGATCACCAGAGGTCAGGAGTTCGAGACCAGCCTGGCCAATATGGTAAAACCCCATCTCTACTAAAAATACAAAAATTAGCCAGGCATGGTGGTGCGTGCCTATAATCCCAGCTACCCGGGAGGCTGAGGCAGGAGAATTGCTGGATCCTGAGAGGCTGTGGAGGCTGCAGTGAGCTGAGATTGTGCCAGTGCACTCCCTGGGGAACAGAGCGAGACCTCCGTCTCAAAACAAAATAAAATAAAAACAACTTTGCCAGTCTTTAACAAAGCTTTGTGTGTGTGTTTTTTTTTTTTTTTTTTGGAGACAGGGTCTTGCTCTGTCAGCCTGAACTACAGTGGCACAATCATAGGTCA